CGAGCCACTGAATCAGGATACTGCCCACGCTGGAACTCTGCAGAGATCGGGGCTCATCGCAAGGGCATGGGGAGAGAAGCAAGGCATGGGTCTCCCCCGCAGGCCCCACTCCCCACCTGCTACAATTCTAAAGGACCCTATAGGACCACCACAGCCTCCACCTCTCAACCTTTGCCCACAGGCCTCAGGGACATGGCCTCCATATGTCACTCTGAGCAACCTCTGACCCACTGTCCATCCCGGCCCAGCACCTTTCTCCAGCGCCTCAGCTTGGCCTGGGGAGAAGATAGTCCGATTCCGGTGGGGACCCCGAGGAGCCTCAGAGCCACTCTGCGGAGTGCGAGGAACTGGAGCCAAAACAGCTGAAAAGGGGGACAATGGCTTGTGGGAGTTTGTGATGGTGATTCCTCTGGTCAGATTGGGTCCCCAGGGCCCTGGGGCTATGGACAGGAGACAGCATGGCTATAAGAGCAGAGCTGCACTGGTGGGGCATTCACACTTGGAGGTCACTTGGTAGGAGGCATACTCATGCCACAGGAGGGTGCATGCTTAGGGTTTGGGGGGAAACAGCAGCAAGGTTGGTCCAGGTTTGCATAACCCCACAGGTCATGAAAGGTGCTATTAAAAGCTGTGCATGGGGCAGAGGGAGGGTTAGAAGGGCCAGTCCTGCCTCTTCATCAGCAGATCCTGTGAACCTAAGGGTAGGGACCTGGGTTTTGTTCTAGGACCTACCAACTACTAGCTGGTGACCTTGGGGAAGTCATTTCCCTTCTCCGAGCCTCAATTTTCTTTTGCCAGGAGGGAATGAGACTATAACGAACTGGAAACTGCTTAGGTTTGGTTCTGATCATCCCTGGGGGCAACGCAAAGACCCACCTGGTGATCTGAGCTGTGCCCAGGGCAGTCTCTGGTCCTCTTGTAGTGTCCGCAGGACTCGGTTGATAGAGGAGACCTGGAGGTGTCAGGGTGTTGAGTGGCGAGATGGTACACAGTCCCAGGCTTGCATCCTAAGGATATTTCCCCAGTATCCTTTCTCTCCTCTGTCCCGGCCCACACAGTTCCTAAGGGCAGGCTTTTCTCTCCCCCATGGTTTCTTCTCACCTGTCTCACCACTTTTCAGAAGAGAGCCCAGGAGCCCGGCCCGCCAGCCTAGGATGGCCTCATTGCAAAATAAGAAGGGATCTTCTCCCCAGATAACCTGTTTGCCAGCCCCCGTGTGGGGAGAGGAAGGCACTTACACTGGGAGTCTTGTCCTGGGTGCAAAGCCCTTCAGCACAGAGCTGGCGTTGGATCTCCCAGGCAAAGAGGGCCGGACACTCACCCTTCAGCTGGGCAATTCGAGCCACCACAGCGGGTGTGGCCAGACGTGGCTTGCTACCCCCAATTCCCTTGGGCTCCAAGACACCTGTACGGTAGTAACGCCCTAGGATCTTGCTCACACAGCCGTTAGATACCTGGGTCAGGTGAGAAGCAGGAACAGCTAAGGCATAATGGGCAGAAGGTGAGTCTACCTGGGACAGAGGAGGCTACAAGGCAAAGTGAAACCTATGGGACCAGGCCATAGAGTTGAGAGGCCAGCCTCATCTTTAGGAGCCTGAAGTTCCCCATCCCAGCCCCCAAGAGGATCTTCTAGGACAGCGGTTCTCAACCTGTGGGTCGCGACCCCTTTGGGGGTCAAACGACTTTTTCACAGGGGTCGCCTAAGACCATCGGAAAACACATATATAATTACATATTGTTTTTGTGATTAATCACTATGCTTTAATTATGTTCAATTTGTAACAATGAAAATACATCCTGCATATCAGATAGTTACATGACGATTCACAACAGTAGCAAAATTACAGTTATGAAGTAGCAACGAAAATAATTTTATGGTTGGGGGTCACCACAACATGAGGAACTGTATTAAAGGATCTCGGCCTTAGGAAGGTTGAGAACCACTGTTCTAGGAAGACCCAAAGGCCCTCAGAGTCTGTAATAGCTCCAGACTTGCCTTAATGGGGACCCCTTCTCCTGCGTCCTGTCCCCATCCCTGGGTGAAAGTTCTAGCCCACTACCTTAAGGCTCCGTGAGATGTCACAGGGCCGCATCCCACTCACTGCCAGATGCACGATCTGCTGTCGGGTGTCCAGGGGCAGGGGCCGGCCGTTCACAAAGAGGCCCCCCAGCTGATTCACACTGCTGATCCCTGGGCATGAGAAGGAGGCATCCACAAACCACGTCTCCCCTCTCTCCAGCCCACCCTGTGGCATGAAGGGCCCTCCAGCCTGGCTTTCCACAACAGAGACAGTCTTCCCCCCAGGGGATTGCTCCCCTTCTGCTCCTGGGGTCCCCCAAACATGCCTCTTTCTTGGGAGCTGGCTCATGGGTGAGACTTTGCTCTGTGACCCCCATGATCTAAGGGAAACAGGGTGGAGCAGGGAGGGAGTAACTGGACAAAGCTTCCCCTGAACACTGGCCAAGGGCAGGTGAAACCACGTGGATGGAAGCAGAACCTGTAGATATCCCCTCCCTCCTTACGCCACCCTGTTCTTCCCACTTCTCCCAGGCGTTTTACCGTCCTGTGGCATGCTCCAGGCTGACCTCTCACAGAAGGGCAGGAAGTGGGAAGACTGGGGAGGGGAGTTCCTCTGGGGATCTCCTTCCTCGGTCTTGGGGCTGGGCCTGCAATAATCGGGGGTGATTTGGGGTGAAGTCTCTTGCTTAGAATGGTCTTAGGATCTAGTATATTGTGATAAGGGGTCAGGTTTCTAAAATTTGCCAGTAGGTTAGCTAAGCAAATTCAAATTTTCTTTACTTAAACCCCTCTGTGATGAAGTCAAACATCACAGGGCCAGCAGAGGACTGAGTTTTTCTGGATGTCCTGATAAGGGTCTGGGAGGAAGGGCGACTCTCATTTCTCACATGTCCATGGACAGGTAGGTGTAAAGGGATAATGCCTGCCAATGTTCGGGCTTTCTCTTTTGCCACATAGACAACTGTCATCTCTGACCCCTCACTAGTCCTTCTCAGCCCTGCGTGATGCACTGGGGCCAGATGCAACTTAGGTTACTCTAGCCAGCCGAAGAGGGCTTCAGTGACCTAGATCCCAGCTGCCCAAAAT